AGTAAGCCCAACTCAAATCAGTTTTAAAATAATCGTTGATATAATGAAGAATATTTTGTGTAGAACTACTATAAATAACATTTATTTTTCCCCAAAACTTGTTCAATCAAAGAGAGTTGTTTTATGGCATCTCTAACCCACTCTATTTTTTTTATTTCTAAACTCTATTTTAGAGTAAAATCTACTCCAACCCATCTTTATTTCTACCTCTATAATAGAGAAAATTATATGATTTCTCTATATATAGAGGAAATGTAACGCCCGTGAACCAAAAATTGTGATTTTTGGTTATTTTTGGTGGTGTCGATCGACACTAACAATTTATCGGTTCAACCAGTTCGATTATAAATCGTTCGGTTAACAATTTTTGGGTTTGGAAAACCCTAGGTCTTGCAATAATTACGAGCAGTCTCCTTTTTTTGACAAAAATCAGAGTTTGATAAGTGATTTTCGTATTTGAGAGTGAGAAGAGGAGATTTGTGGCGGAGATTGTTCCTGGAGGCTCGATTAAGGCTGTAGGAGCGAAAGGGGATCGAGTGTTGGTGATTTCGAGAATAGGAGGAAGTATTAAGATGGTTCCTAGGTAGTAAAGGGTCTGGTTTCGTGTTTGTCGTTGTTCTTGTAAATTTTCGTTCAAAACCAAGGTGAGTGCGTGGTCATGGCTTATCTGAGTGGATGGATTGTCAAGATACGTGTTGTTTGTGTGAATTGATGATTGATTGAGTTGGGAGGATGTTTCCTTTGTGTATACGTGCTGTTTCGTGTGTTCGTTGATGTTGGTTTTGCAGGAAATCGACATGGTGCAAGCTAGAATCGAACCAGAGAGGAGAAAGTTCGATTCTGGCGACTCTGCAGCCAGTGTCGATCGATGGAGAGGTTTTAAAAAAACAAGACAAAAAACTTAAAGAAAGGCTTTAGAGTCTTTAAAAAATATAAAGACAACAAATCATGCTTGGTAAAAGATTATCTTTAAACACTTTAATATTTTTTAAAGTCTTGAAAGACTCCTACCAAGCAAGCCTCTAGTCTTACACTCTTTTCGTTTCAACCATATCTTTTTTCAATATCTTTATTGTTTTATTTTTTCCACTAAATTGTTTTCGGAATCGAAAGATCACCGCGAACTCACCCCTTTATTCGAGCTCAATGTCACCTAGCTCATTTCCTCTGTATTCCAACTCTCTCTTGTTCCTGGTACATCAAAATCGTGGTCTTTTCTTTTACTGACTTAAGAGTTCGAAATTAAGTCTTCGAAAAACATCTTACAATTGTATTTTCTGGGACTTCACACCTTTTTTACTTGTGGAGGAGACTTAACCCCTAAAAGAAGATGATTATCTGAAACACGAACTCACTAGTTTATGTATGGATCTTAAATATGTCTATGATTAATCTATGGATTGATAACAATTATTCGTAATTAAAGTAATATTAATCCATTGTCTATAGTGTGTACATCTAATGAATCTACACAAACTACGCATTCAAATTTAGATCAAACGTGAGATGCTAGTACTGTAGTTGAAATCTTTCGTGAATCTGCCACCGACCATATCTTCTGCTGCTAGGTTTAGGTTGCTTGTGTGGAAAGAAATCTTCCAATGATTAATTGGATTATTTATGTTCTTTTTTTTATATATATATATAAAACACACAAATACCATTATGAAAGAAAGATTTTGGTTTTTACAAAAGAGATTAACCATCTAAACTTGTCTTCTTGCCAAACAAAAATTAAAACATAGAGGGGTGCATGGGAGTTGAGAAGGAGAATTCAGTCCCTCCGAATCCAAATTTCAATGAGGTTGCTTGCTTAGCGAAGTCAAGTGATGCGGTCTGGCCTAGTGTATATGGTGCAGTGCAAAAGGCTTCAAGGAAACTTTGAGCCCTTGTCACCTTAGAGTCTCCTTCGACGACAGTGTGTGTCTAAAGCATTTTGTTTATATGATGTTGTTGCGATAAAGGTAATCAAGTGTTTTCATGAAATCTAAAAGCTACAATTACCAACACACATACAGTATTTGATTGTTCTTAGACAAGTTACTAAATTCTTACTATTGAGAGGTCTAAACATGGAAACACAAAGAAAAATATCTAAATTTGTTTTTTTTGCTACACTTTTTTTTTTCTTAAAAGATCAAATCAATGAAGAGGTGAAACAAGTTTTGGTTTATAAATTATAAATTGAAGACTCTTCTTATTAAACATTGACTTTAAACAACCAACTAGTACTTTTAAAGCTTAATTACAATAATGACCAAATGAGCAATACTTCCCGCCACCGCCATGACCACCGTACTTACCTTCTTCATGATCATCATCATCACCGTCTCTACTATGAATCCACCACAATAGATTACTCAGAGAGTTTCCATCATCAAACCCATTTAATCTTCTAGCCTTGTCGATCGCTCCATCTTTGTCGTCAATACTTTCCAAAGCATACACAAACCCTTTCCACCCTTCTCCGACAGTACTGTCTCTCTCCAACGCCGGTTTTGTCCAATTCACGAGCTGCTTCACGAATTTCACATCAGAGAAGAGAATCTCCGATTCCGGAAGCAGCGGTAATAACTGAATTCCAAGGCGACACTCTTTCCATTCCTTTGGCGCGAACCATAAGCCACTGTTTCTCTTTGTTGACCATAAAACTCCGACCACACGATTCTCTTTGTTGGTAAGACGAATTGATCAGCCTTCGTTCATCTGGATTTTTACTATCAATTATCATTAATTAAGGCCGTCTTGTATATCAACAACATAAGTGTTTGCAGCGTGACTCGGTACCCTGATTCGTGTACCTCAAGCATCTCGAAGATTCCATTGTCGAACACGACGGATTCGGAGATTCTGTTCAAGCTTTCCTTGAAGGTGGTGGTGGATGAACTTGGTTCGATTTCAGAATTACCAAAGAAGCTTGCTGATGCCACGAACAATGAGAGAATCAAATCGGCTCTTGTTGTTGGCGGAGATCTCTCATCGTTCGTCGCATCGGCGAGCTTCTTCGGTAATTAGGAAATCGAATCGACCACCACCTTCAGCGAAAGCTTGAACAGAATCTCTCCGGATCCGTCGTGTTCGATGATGGAATCTTCGAGATTCTTGAGATATACGAACTC